GTGAAGGGGATGGGGGAGAGGGAGTCCAGATCCATCACTTTTCCTCGAGACCAATGTTGTAATTCTTACAAAACTGTGGAGAAACTTGGGGTTGGGGGGGGGGGCGTAATCTCTTTATGTTTTCATCTATGACATAAAATATACCTGTGGCTTTCAGATTATCATAAAACGTGTCTAAAACGCATGAAATAGCGTTTCGCAAACCCTAAAAATAGAAAATTTTCCAGAGGACCACTCCCTGACAACCCAACTATTACAGAGGACCCCCCACCTCGTTTAGTGCTGGCTACACCCCTGGCATCATTGCTTAAGATCAATTAAAAATAGCCAGAATATATTTAGTTTGGTGACTTTTATACTGCATGTATTGTGGTTGATTAACATTGATACAGCTATAATGGGCAGCGGTTTCGATACTGACGTGGTATCGTTCAATACTTGCACCCTTTTTTAGACGATTTGTTTAACTTCACTTCTTGGTTGAATAAGAAACTCATAAACCACTAAAATAACTCTTAATATTCAAAATGTGGTGCGCCAAGTCATGTATAGAAAATATTTATACAGTAACGAAAAATGTTTTTCCACTGACCAACAGGACCGACAGGTATTGAAAGTAACTGATACTTAGCAATTTAAGTACCGTCGCTTGCAACTAAGGATGAACGGTAACATTGTCTATTCTCATGACAAAGTTCAATGTTTTTACTGAGAAAGTCCAATGTTTTTACCGAGAAAGTTCAATGTTTGTGATGACATTTCTTGGTTTCAATTCGCTCAGTCAGCTTGGAGCTGGTTGAACGTGATTGGCTGATCAGATTAGAATCTGTCAAGTGCTCTTGACAAAGCGACGGTACTCACTTCTGGTATCGAAAATAGAAATTTTGTGTCTATTTTGGTCTCGAAATGAGTATCGGTATCGACCGTATCGAATTAAAAATCTTGGTATCGCCCATGACTATGTTTTGGCTAAGTCACCTGAAATCTTACTTCTGTATCAAAACAAACTCCGAAAAATAATAATTGGATTTCTGAAGATGTTTATTTAGTGTTGACCCTCTTCATACCACTGTATAAAACTCAAAATGCGAACTCGATCTGCAACCCAGTTCAAAAATCAAAATATATAACCTTTTAACCTTCCTTTCCATGATTTCTGTACACATCTTCATAATAAAACTGCAGTGTTACAGCAAAAAATCCATACTCATCTTTGTATAAACAGCATACTGGCACAGATACTGGCAACCTCTCGTGGACCGCGTGGCAATTTGCGTATTTTCCGCAAATATTTCCCAAAATTTCCTTAAATTTTCCACTTTCCCCCCTTATTTTTTCACTATTTTCGTCAACCTCGTACCCAGGGCTTCTGCGCTTGTTGCTCTCAGAAGCCCTGGGATAATCCAACTCAGAACGTGATTTGATTGGTCAATGCGAATACAATGAAAGTACCGGAAGTTATTCATTAACCGGGTGATATTTTGGCAACATGGCTGCTATCACAAGGAGTGTATACAAAAGTTAAATGCTGGATTTTGCATGAAAATACTTTTTTAAGCCAAATTCTGGGCTATTTTGAAAAGAGCAAAAGAAGAAAGGGACTATTTGTATTTGTAAATAAGCAAGAATGGCGAACAAAGTAAAAAATTTAACATAATAAAGCGAAACATTTCTCGTTCGAAAAATATTGAAATTTCAAGTATAAATCTACAACTTCAACCACGATATTTAATGTAAATATTACATAATAAAGTTTTTAATACCTTTTTTACCTTTATTTGATAAATTGTGTGTTCTATATTATTGCATTTTGTATTGGAATAGGATAAATTATTAATTATACACAAATATTTAAATTTGCAAATTATTCCCAATTTGAGGATGCTGGGTGCACTGCCTCAGAGTTTGTATTAGTCCCTATTTATTATTGAGTTATTAGTGCCTCCAAATCTCTAATGTACAAACATTGTCCCTATTTATTATTGAGTTATTAGTGCCTCTAAATCTCTAATGTACAAACATTGTAATCTGTTACTTATAAATACCATAAAGAAACTGTTGATAGCACATATATTAAATGACTATTAATCAAACTGAACTAAATTTTCGACTATTATATAGCATATTTCCCCCAATATTGAGGGAATAATTTCTCGTACTTATTTTTATAATAAGCCAATATTGCCCAACTGTGAAGTAAATATTGCCCAACTGGCCTAGTCTGCCCAACAATCGGGCCCCGCCCTGTACGCCTATTGCCAGGCCTACAGGTGGACCCCCAACCGGATCGGTCACAATTTTTCTTTCTCCAAAATTTCCCCTCCCCATGTACAAGGATTGACAATTTGACAGCTTGATTAGATTTGAAAAAAAAAACACTGTTCTATTGGGTCATTCCAGAAAACACCCATACCACCCCCACAGAGGAAATTGAAAGTTAATCCCTCCTACCCCTTTGGATGTCGTAATACATTTACTATTATCAGAAACAATTTTTTCCCCCTCCCCCTCCAGACGGCAGAAATTTCCTCTGTGGGGGAATGTGGATCTTTTCTGGAACGACCCATTTGAGAAATGCTTTTGCACAAATTTTAAATTTTCTTACAAACACAACTCTGTATGTCAGAATACTGTTCTAAGTTGCAACTAAAATCCAGAGGTCTAAAAGGCTCAAGTCAATTCCACTGGTGTAACCAGAGGGAGGGGGGTCAAAATATTTTAAATGTTCTGGACTTGTTTGCAATTAAGTAGAGTTGAACATGTGTTAACTGAATGGTTATTTCAAATCAACAAAACACATTAAAATAGCCCCCCCCCCCCAAAAAAAAAATGGCAGTTTACCAACTAGAATTTAAAAGTAGTACATTGTGCTATATTATACATGGATAGCTTGGAAGTCCAAATACATTTTTACATAATAACAAACTTATTCAAACTAGTGCAAGCCCCTCCTGGGATTTCAGTCCCCCTTGAAGGCCTTGATTAGAAATCCTGGCTACATCACTGCTCAATTCCATTGCCAGTGGTGTTAGCATAATTAGAGTATGTTAACAAACCAGTGTGTATTATGAAATAATCCATTGAGCACCAGTGATCTATTCCAACATATAAAATCATCTGGTAGACAGTCAGAGTAAAATAAAAAGTAGGACACAATGTATAACTTAATAGGTAAGGTTAATGGCCAGAACTAAATGATAAACAATATTTTATAATAAACCCAAATTAGTTCAGCACCATTGGTTCTTATAACACTGTTCATTCCAATACTAGAATATCAATTGTCATTAATTAAAATGTATTTCAGTTGGCAATTAACAAAAGTTGGAGTTTCATCCAATGACATGTATCAATCTAACCATGCTGTCCATGCAGCTATCTGACAGTTTTTAATTTTCAACATTCCCAAAGCCATTCTCAAGATTTGCCAAAAATGTTTTCCAAATAAGTACAGAATTATGTTACATCACTCATCACTGTTCATTTTACATTCTTCAAGTAGATGCATGTTTACAGTACAGTATATCTTGTGTATTCATAATTAAATCTTGCAATATCTTGTTCAAAACCCTCAAATCCAAGATAATCGGCAGCCAGCCATGTTACCAGTAAGATTTCTAGTTTGTTGACTTTGAAATGACCAAGGTTGTACTCGAGTATAAATATTTATACTTTAATTATTGAATAGCCTCTGTATATCGCTGACAAGGTATGCTTTTGTCGCGATAAAAGATGTTCTTTTGCTCGCCAAAGGGCTAATTTTACGCATAATTGTATCTCTAAATTGATCATTCCTGACTTTAAATTCCAAAAGCCACGCGAGAAGCAGTTTAAGACGTCTTTACAAGTCCAAATGTATCATAAATTGCAACAAATAATCCATTCTCACTCCTTGCGTAAAAATATGCCCAGTCAGCGTTTTTAGCTGGAGCCACTGTTTACTTCCGCTTCCGGGGGCACCACTGTTCTATGGTGTTCCGGTTTGGATTATCCCAGGGCTTCTGAGAGCAACAAGCGCAGAAGCCCTGGGTACGAGGTTGTATTTTCGTGGGTTTTCCGGACGTGTTTCCACATGTTAGGTAATCTTCTTGTCCACATGTTCATGTTCAGTATGTTTATAAACATGGGATTTGATGTTTTTAAAAGTATTGGGAAGGCATTTGGGAAGTACTTGAGCGGTTCTATGATGTTTTATGTGTATTGTGGAAAGTATTATACCAAAAATCAGTAGAAGTAAAATGGCATTTCGTCTGATTTCCAAAATCTTATATGACAGTTCAAAGTCAAAAATATATTGGAATGTTTGTAACATTTCTCAACGATTTTACGGGACTAGCTTTTCAGGGACAGTATTTCTGGGCAGTAGGCTGTGTGTGCAAACGTTTTTACAAACTGCAAGACATGGAAGGAACTATTTTATACAAAGCAGAATATGTTTTAAAAGAGGTTTGAATACAGGAACTGCTGTGTCAAAAGAAAAGGGTTCTGATCTAAGGAGACTGTTTGGTTTGGCCAGGCCTGAGGCGCTTAGGATTACTGGTATGGGATAACATGATGTATTACGATATTATGCCCACTTGGAAGAGGTTGTAGAAATGTCTCTCCTCTATAGAGGCATGTCAGTTTAATATGTGGGCTACATACCCATAATATGTGAGGCGCATGCAGGTCATTGATGAATGCGCACAAAGGATCAAGGAAAGAATGGGAAAATTTGCTCTTCCATTGCTCCCTCGCACATGTTTTTATCAACCACCTGAATGCCTTACATTTTCTGGGTACACAGCCTTCACAGTGGCGGAAATCTCAGGGGGGGGCGGGGCTGCCCCCCCACCTTTATGGAAAATGACGAATTTTCGGAAATTTTGACCTATAAAAGGGCTAAAAACAACCTTTTCGAGTGCAAATGGGGGGGGGGTTCGTCAGAAATTTGAAAGTTTTGTCGGAAATTTAGAAGGCTTCGCCCCCCCCCCCCACCGAAAAAAGTGAATTTCCGACACTGAGCCTTCACATATTGTGGAACAAAAATTGTAATAAAACAATTATTGTACAATTACCACCTTTAATACACGCTTCTGGAAAGTATGACACTCTCGTGATTGCAATGCTTGGCTTTAAATAATGTTACATATACAAAAACGAGGCTCAAATGCCAAGGTGATATACTTTACAGAAGAGTGTATTATAGAGGTGTCTGCTATATACATGTTACGTCTGTTAGAGCGGAGCGGAAGAGAAGAATTCCAACTCTTTAACCTCATGCGGCTTCAAATTTATCCAAGTTTATTATTGGATCATTCCAGGAAGACCCAGATTCCTTCCACTACACATGAAATTTCTACCATCCAGAGGGGAAAAGTACATTTGATGTCTGAGGGGATAAGGGGGACTTAACTCCACTTTCCTTTGCGGGGTAGGTGTGGAAGTTTTATGGAATGACTCATTTGGAAACCTTTTCGACAGGTGCTGTTGTACTATTGTTTGTATCATCTGGCATAACCATGGCTGTACCATTCTGTATGGGGAAAATCATTGATATTATTTACACAGAGAGTGAAACACATGATGCAATGATACAAAAATTAACTGCATTTTCAAAAATATTATGTGGAGTGTTCTTATTGGGGGCCTTGGCTAACGCAGTTCGAGTTTATTTAATATATACGTCAGGTTAGTATTGTGTTAGAATTTCATTTAAAGAAGCCCTGGGAAGGACGTGTTGATTTACAGTATGTTAATTACCAAAAACAAGACCATATGCAATAGGATTGTGCCTCTGGAATAAAGCTGTTACCATCAAAGCATTGGTAGGCTATATAGATTAGGCAAATTTCCATGCAATTTAAAGCAAAAGAGTAAAGTGGCAATTAATGTGCCCTACTTTGTACTACATACTCTGTCTAATGCCAGATGATTTTACTCATTAATGAAGGGGAAAGTGCTGCCACTCAATGGGTTAATCAGACTATCTGCCCATGCACCCTGTTAACCCTTTAAGTGGCAATGTACCCCACTTTATTATTTTACTCTGTCTATTGCCAGACAATTTTACTTGTCAGGGAGACAGTGCTGTCACTCAATGGGTTAAAGAACTAACTAAAACTTCAACCTAAGAGTTCAATCGATTTTGAGGTTTTGTAAGTACCGTAGTGTCTTCCAGTTATAAATAGCCACGATTGCTTTTGTAGGGGAAAGAATCGTTTTCAGACTAAGACACCAACTTTTTCAATCAGTCACAAACCAGGAGGTATCCTTTTTCGACAAGCGAGGAACAGGGGAGCTTGTTAGCCGACTTTCAGGCGACACCTCATTAGTTGGTCACGCTATAACTTACAATGTTTCTGATGGATTACGAGCTTTGGTTCAAGCGTCGGCTGCTGTGTCAATGATGGTAATGCATGAAAGCATTTTATTTTTAAAGAAATCGAGGAAACATAATAATTAGGTTATGTAACTACATGTACAGTCCTGCTCAATTGTAGTAGATATTAAAGCCCCGGTCAAACCATAGTTAATAGAATAGATGGTTTGGAAACTCATCAGTCAATGTTTATTCATAAATCTGTTCGTTCACCGTCACGTGTGTATTGTATTTTTGCCCAACTAACCAATAGCAATGTCTTAGGAATGTTATGTATCCGTGACTCGAACAATAGGGTAAACTGGAAATTGCTATTGGTAGATTAGGCAAAAATACAATACAAACGTGACGGTGAACGAATGAATAAACGTTGACTAACATAGATAATGAGTTATTGTTATTCTAATGAGTTTCCAAACCATCTATTCTATAACGGGGATGAGAGTTGCAACTCCAAATCTCATCGACTTGGAGTTTGTTCAAACTTCGATGAGAGTTTTTCGCTACACGCACCGTAATATCCAGTCAACTCTCATCAAACGCTCATGCAACTCTTGTTCTCGTTTGACCGGGACTTATTTTATTTTTTTATTACCCAGAAATAACCTAGAAGGTCGCGTTTTTGAGATACATTCGTGTTGTAAATGCGTTCAGTTTTGCATTCCGAATGCGTTCGATTCTACTGTATGTCCGAGAATGAGTTGAACGAACACGTTTTTGAACGCGTTTCTGCAAGAGGCTTGTAATTGTAATTGTAATTATAATGTATAATTATATAATAAATATATGTGAATAATAAGGACATTATTGGACCATTATTGGACCAGGTCAGAACAGGATGGAAGTTGGGTCTATTTAAATTGACAGGAGTTGAACCAGCGTCCCTGGGATTCTGGTGCTCTAACCAACTGAGCTACAGAGTCTATAGTGGTCGAGCTCCAGCCACAAGTTCTTAAATCATAGTAGAATAGCTCGTCTTGACGTATGATTCGTCTGTATGTCTGTGGCCTCATCTATGCTAGATGGAGTTTATTTGCAGTGAAACATGTTATCCGCATGATCCAAAATGAATGAGTTCACTGATAGCACTATTAAATTCCATTCCATTTTTCAGTCCTACACGTCTCCAAAACTGGCATCAATAGTACTCGGGATTGTTCCACCCGTGGCTGCCCTCTCTGTAGTGTATGGACGGTATTTACGAGGAATTACGAAAAATGTTAGAGATTCCCTCGCTGTTTCTACCAACGTAAGATATGCAGTAAATACTACCTGATTAACGTCTTGAGATTTTGTTATTGCAATATGTACATGATCTATATCAAATCATGGTAATTTTTAGATTGCAGAGGAATCACTAAGTAACATTCGTACTGTACAAGCATTTGGTCAAGAAGACAAACAGATAGCCAGGTAATTCAAAACCCGTTCAAAAAATTGAAATTAGAAGGAGTAACAATTCAGACAATTTAAGCTGTGGTATATTGTTAACTTTTTATTGCATATAGGTACAGAAACAAGATTGAAGAAGTGTTTAATTTAACTAAGAAAGACGCAATGGCTTCAGCAATATTTTGGGGCTTTGTAAGTGCACATTCTTAAATTATTTTTTTCTTTTCTACTTCCATTGTTCCTTTATGCAATGCATGTATGATTTCTTCTTTGTCTTAATTCAGACCGGCTTATCTGGGAACCTGATCGTGTTACTAGTACTATATTATGGTGGTAACATGATTTCATTGTCGCAAATTACGGTTGGAGGTTTAACTTCGTTCATGGTTTACGCCGCATGGGTTGGAATTTCTGTCGGAGGTGAGAAGTTCCCAACTGTATTTAATATATTGTATTTATTATGTTGTGTAATTCTGTGCTGTTGTGCTGTATTTAAAGCAGTCGAATAAAGTGTTTAATTGTAATAGTTTTTGTGCCTTTTATGAGTTTTATCCATGAGAACATCTTTATAAGACGACATTTGAACAGCAATACAGTAAGTCATTGTAACTGGTGTTTGTCTCTTCATTTTGGCAAGGTTTCAGTTCGTTTTATTCCGAGCTGATGAAAGGTGTTGGCGCAAGCTCGCGATTATGGCAGTTACTGGACCGAAAATCACTGATACCTCGTTCAGGTTTGTTAAACTTGTAAACGATTTGGCAAAATCATAACCGAATCACTAAATATATTTGAGACTATTGCTCTTTGACCTGTTGTCTGCACCATCAATCTCATTTTTTTTATGAAATTAGTAAAAAAAGAAGTTTAGGTTTCCTTTTTCCCCATGTTTATTTAAATTGTAACACTATTTTATCCTATATTTTGGATGAAATCACTCTCCTTTCCAAACCGCCTTTTTCCTATGAGATTATGGGTTCAATTCTCTCTGATTTGCTTCCACAGTGAATATTGACGGGGTGAGTTAGGTTGCATAGGTCACGCCCACACGAGTGACGTCAGCACTGGCGGCAGGTACACACATGATTTGCTGGTATGCCACTATGCCTATTTTTCCGACTCGTATCTGGTCCCTGAGTGAGTTTTAAAAAATGATGATGCATGATGGGAAGGTAAAATTTTCAGTTAATTTTTCGTCTTCGTTCATTATGCATCACATTTTTCAGTCCACTGAGCTATATATGTTTTCGTAAGATGTAATCAAATATATCTATGGCGAAATATAAATTGGAAATATAAAAATTGGACAATATCTTTATTCTTGTTAGTTGGCGTTGCTCTACATGAAGACGATCTTGGTAAAGGAATCGAATTTAACGATATTCATTTCAAGTACCCCACTCGTCCTGACGTCCCTATATTCTCCTCACTAAATCTCACGTTTCCTGCTGGTCACGTGACCGCAGTGGTCGGGCCGAGTGGGTCTGGGAAGAGTACAATTACGTCATTATTATTACGGTTTTATGACCCGGATGTTGGTTCTGTTTTAATTGGTGGTCACGATAGTCGTGTTGTGAAACCTGATTGGCTTAGAAGTCACATTGGGATTGTTAATCAGGTAAAGACCCGGTTTATACCAAGTTTTTCCAGCCTACGACCACAAAATAGGAAAGTACATCAGAACTGCAGAAGTGTAACTTGAGTCGGTGTTTACGTCCACGAAAATTTTAACTCGCTCACGCCATCCTGGCTAGTACAGCCGGAAGTTTTTATCAGGTTTTGGTAGGTACAAAGTGCCGGTTGTACTAGCCAGGATGGCGTGATTGATGACGAATCGCTTGTAAAAACGCGGACAAATACTTGCTTGAGTGAGACTTCTAGTGTACCTTCCTATTCTGTGCTACGACCATGTTGTGAAAAATGTTTTTTCTCTCTGAAAACTTGGGGCTAGATCTTAGGGCTCAAAATTTTCAGCAAAAGATTACAATAAATAGGGAAAAATAACAAAATTGTCATTTGTAACTGTTTTATAGTGTTGTGGTGTAAAGCAATAACCCTGAAGTAATAATCATGGTAGTTACGACTTTACAGGATTAAAAACAAATTTACACACCCGCAGGCTATATGAATATTTTTGTCGAAACTTTTCCGCTGTAATTTAGGTATCGAATTGATTAATTAATTAGGTGTTTAATCATTTCAACAATTTTTATTTGGTAATTAAGATATTCAGTCAGTCTAACTTTCAGAATTAGCTATCAAACATAAAAATGTCTGTGAAAATTTCTTCAAAAATATAGATCTCAAATAATTTCTGGAGACAACTGTAGGTTGCCAGGTTCCGATGCTGTTTCCACGTCTCGTTAAAGAAAAACATCTACTGTGTATAAATCTACACACGTTAAAACGCACAAGTTGTAACCAACCTGCATCAGACTTGTAGCAATGCTGTTCCAACGACCTGTCAACAGGATGCATGTTGGCGCTACGTGTTCCCTAGCCTACGTCATAGACTCGGGGAACGAGTTTGAGTCTATGATGTAGGCTACGTGTTCCCAGCTTGTTGATAAGTTGTCAACGGCTTGTCGACAATTTTCTACAAGGTTTTTGAGTTCCACAGACTTGCTACAAGTTGTTCCAACAACAAATTCAACAATTTGTCAATAAGTTGTGAGTGACAACCTTGTAGCAACTTCATAAAATAACAACATTGTTACAACTTGTTGACAGGCTTGTTACAAGCCTGTTGCGAACACATCTTGTTGACAAGTTGTGAGATTTTGACGTGTGTACCTCTCCATCTTTCCACAGGAACCAATATTATTTTCTGGCAATATAGAAGACAACATAGCTTATGGTTGGCGACCAGAAAATGGATCGTTAAAATTTCAAGATGTTTTGAATGCTGCCCGACAGGCCAACGCTCTGGAATTTATTGAAAGTTTTCCGCAAGGATTTAGCACAGTTGTTGGAGAGAAAGGACAAAGTCTTTCTGGTAGGTCCGCTGTGGATACAGTATCGATCATGCTGTGGATATGGTATATTGTGATGTGGTATGGTTTTTAGTGGTATGGTGTGGTACGATGTGATACTGTTTGTACACTATGATATGATTTTGAATGGTATAGGTTTGGTGTTACACTGTTACCAGTGTGGTTTGGTATGGTATAACACGTTATGGTAAGGATTGTAATAGTTTGATTTACTTAAAATTGGTTGGTTACTATGGTAATGTCATGGTATGTTGTTGTATGGTGTAATAGGTACAGTATGGTGTAAAAAAATAAGGTTTTCCAAAACTTGAAAAGTTACAATTTCTTCGTTTAAGGTGGACAACGTCAGAGGATCGCCATTGCTCGAGCACTATTGAAGGTATAAGTTCACACATCATAGATAGTGTTCTGTTTTGCGTATGGTGTTTCTGGACACTTTTATTAAAAGTTTTATAGTTGCGTTGCTTAATATTACGAAATCTAGTGTCAACATATGCATTTTAATTTTGATCTTCCAGAATCCCAAAATCTTAGTCCTTGACGAAGCCACAAGGTAGGTTTATCCTTTTAAGTAAGTTCTAACATAGGCGTACGAGGCCGGGGGAGGAGGCACCCCCCAGTAATGTGACGAAAAATTTTAACCCGTTCAAAATTGTTAGCGCCCCCCCCCCCCCCCCGTAGGTCGGGCAATGTGCAGCAAGATCGGGCAAATTTTTGTTCGCCCTTAAATCTGAACGACGATATTTCAAAAGTAATTTGTATCTTTTAGTGCGCTGGATGCGAAAAGTGAACATCTCGTACAGGAGGCTTTAGATCGTTTGATGAAAGACAGAACTGTCATAACCATTGCTCACAGATTATCTACCATTAAAAACGCTCACAATATTTTAGTTTTGGACAAAGGGAAGATCTGCCAGTCTGGCTCTTATTCGGAGCTGATGGAAGACAAACATGGACTATTTTATAAACTTATAGAAAAGCAGACGCTCTCTAATACAACTATAAATTCACTGCCAACTTAGAAGTTAATATCTTATTATGTCGTTAGGGTTAAATATAAATTTGGCAAATCTTTTAAGGAGAGGTGCAACGGTATCGCTCACGGCCCCCTAAAGTCAGCCACGTGACGTATGCACGTACTATACATATGTGTCAGTGTATTTGTGAATTGTGACTGTACGATCTATCAAATTTTGCCCCGCAAGCTTATGCTTTAAACACCATCGTGCATAAATAAAGTCATATTATTATTATTACATTGCTACTACATTGACACTTGTGTAGATGAATGGCTATCACTGTTTTAATTTTACGGAAAAACGTTCTTGCAAAGTGCAGACCCTAAGCAACACATAAAAAACTGTCAAATTTTCGCTTTGATCTGCATGTCATTTAACCTTTCCCATGGGGAGGTGCATGACTTTTCCGGGGGAAGAGCAAAATGATTTTA